TATATATATATATATATATATATATATATATATATATACTGTCTCCTTGATTTAGGTGTATATATTTCTGTTGCTTATAAAAGGAGACAGCTAAGCAGCAGCAGCAGACAGAGGCAGCGTAATGTGTCTCTCTTTCTGTCTCTTTGTCTTTGTCTTTGTTGTCTTTGTCTTTGTCTGTCTGTCTTTCTGTCTCTGTCTTTGTTTATTTCTGTCTCCGTCTATCTCCCTGTCTCTTTGTCTCTTTATCTCTCTCTGTCTCTCTGTCTCTTTGTCTTTGTCTCTCTCTGTGTCTCCTTGTCTTTGTGTTTGTCTCTGTCTCTGTCTCTTTGTCTTTGTCTCTGTCTCTGTCTCTTTGTCTTTGTCTTTGTCTCTCTCTGTCTGTGTTTCTGTCTCTTTCATCTCTTGTTATTTCTTTGTATATCTTTCTGTCTTTGTCTCTCTCTCTATTTTTCTTTCTCTCTTTGTCTCTGTCTTTGTTTTATTTTTTTTCTTTGTCTTTGTCTTCCCCTCTGTCTCTGTCTCCATATATACATATTTCTCTCTGTCTCTCTCTCTCTGTCTCTATCTGTCTCTGTCTTTGTTTATATATCTATATTTATCTCTTTTTCTGTCTCTCTCTGTCTCTATCTATCTATCTATATATATATATCTCTTTGTCTCCTTGTCTCTTTGTCTCTCTGTCTTTATCTGTCTCTATCTATCTGTCTATCTCTTTCTCTATCTCTTTATCTTTCTCTATCTATATCTATCTATATCTGTCTCTTTCTCTATCTCTCTCTCTTTCTCTTTCTTTGTCTCTATCTCTATCTATATCTATCTATATCGGTCTCTGTCTCTGTCTCTCTCTCTGTGTCTGTCTCTCTCTCTGTCTCTGTCTCTGTCTTTGTCTCTATATATCTCTCTCTATCTGTCTCTCTATCTATCTATATCTATCTATATCTATATCTGTCTCTCTCTCTGTTTCTCTCTCTGTCTCTGTCTCTCTTTCTTTCTCTGTCTCTGTCTCTGTCTTTGTCTCTATCTCTATATATCTCTCTCTCTGTCTCTCTATCTATCTATATCTATCTATATCTATATCTATCTCTGTCTCTTTCTCTCTCTCTGTCTCTCTCTCTGTCTCTGTCTTTGTCTCTATCTCTATATATCTCTCTCTCTGTCTCTCTATCTATCTATATCTATATCTATCTATATCTCTCTCTCTGTCTCTGTCTCTCTCTCTCTCTCTCTNCTCTCTATCTATCTATATCTATATCTATCTATATCTCTCTCTCTGTCTCTGTCTCTCTCTCTCTCTCTCTGTCTCTGTCTCTGTCTCTGTCTCTATCTGTCTCTTGCTGCTGCTTATCAACACCCACTGCTGCGCTGCTGCAGCAGGCAGCCACAGGAGGCCCCGGGGGGCCCCCAGGGTACGGCTTGGGGGCCCCTCCTCCAGGCTGTGGTCGCTATGCTGCTGCTGCTGCTGCTGCTGCAGTTGCTGCTGCTGCTGCTGCTGCTGCTGCTGCAGTTCCTGCAGCAGAACCTGGGCGATGAGTGCAGCAACTGCTTGCTTTGTCTGTACCTGAGGAGAAAGGAGACACTAAACCCTAAACCCTAAACCCTAAACCCTAAACCCTAAACCCTAAACCCTAAACCCTAAACCCTAAAAACCCTAAACCCTAAACCCTAAACCCTAAACCCTAAACCCTAAACCCTAAACCCTAAACCCTAAACCCTCAGCAGCAACAAAGAAAGGAGAGAAGAAAGAGACAAACCCTTTTAATATAATATAATGTTGATGACAAATTAAATAAATTATTTTCATTTGCTGCTGCAATTCAAACCCAAAGCAGCAGCAGCAACAGCAGCAGCAGCAACAGCAGCAACGACAGCAGCAGCAGCAGCAACAGCAGCAACAACACCAGCAGCAGCAGCAGCACTACCAGCAGCAACAGCAGCAGCAACAAAAGCAGCATCAGCAACGAGACCAGCACCCGCAGCAACAACAACAACACCCGCCCCCGCAGCAACAACAACAACGCCAGCGCCCACAGCAACAACAGCAACAGCAGCAGCAGCAGCGACAGCAGCAACAGCAGCAACAGCAGCAGCAGCAGCAGCAGCAGCAGCAGCAACAGCAGCAGCAGCAGCAGCAGCAATATAATTTTATTTATTACTTGTGCTGCTACGTCTCTATCCATCAGCAGCAACTCTTCTGTCGGCTGCAGCAGCAAGCTGCTGCTGAAGGCAGCAAAGAAGTGAGCATCCAGCTCAACAAGGCCAAGCAAGTCCACCAGCTGCTGCTGCTGCTGCTGCTGCTCCTGCTGCTGCTGCTGCTGCTGCTGCTGCTGCTGGTGAGGAGGAGGAGGAGAAGCC